CGACTATCAAGGCACCCCGGAAAAAGCAGGTCACAAGAGAGTGACAAACATACAAAAGAAGTAGAGGAAAATGACAATAGTAAGCATCAGGAAAGAAAAAGTAGCAGTTCCCTGATGTAGATCAGGCACAGTTATGAGTCAACCCATTTACAATTATACAGTGCTTCAACGAGAAATGTCCCCCCTTTGGGAATGGCCTAAAGACACTACAGTCAGTGGCACTGCCCCGGAGGGTGTAGAGCTTTTACGGCGCTCGCAACTGCATAAGGTCATATGAGCACCAGAAGATTAGAGGTGTTACAAGAGAGTAACAAACAAAAAAAGAAGAAGGGAGGACGATAGATGTTAGATAGGAAAGTGTTAAAGTAAGAGTTTTAGTTTACTTTACTTTTGCCTGTCCCCGCGGTTTCATGCACCCCGCAGAATATAGCAAAATATGATCTTTTTTGTGTGTGCATAATTTCTGATTATTGTCCTTTGTCATTCTTTGTTAAAATTAACTGAATAGCATAATTTCACATTCTTGGGCTCAGTTTGCATAATTTCATAATTAATTTTTTTTTTTTAGCATAAAGCCACGGGAACTGGTTAAAGTAAGATTTTTAGTTTAGTTTAGTTTAGTTTAGTTTAGTTTAGTTTAGTTTAGTTTAGTTTAGTTTAGTTTAGTAAGAGTTGTTTGTTGTTGTTGTTGTTGTTGTTGTTGTTTTTTAGTTGGTGTTTTACGGATCGGTTGGTGTCCGTCGCCGTGGACACGGGCCCTTCCAGGGCGCTACTGACACAAATTTTTGTAGATATTACGGGAGAGGGACATACTCGTAGAAACGAACGAGGCCAGGTAAGGCCAAGGCTGAAACAAACTACTTTACTTTTGAAGGGAAATAATTTGTGAAAATGCAAATCGTGTATCAGTCCTCGCAGTTATTTCCCTCTGTAAACTGTATGTAATATGTTTCTGTTCGTTCACAACAACAACAACAACAACAACAACAACAACAACAGCAGCAGCAGCAGCAAAGCAAACGGGAGGCCAAGTGCTCTTACCAGTTACAGAGTGATTACTTGTGGGTTCTTTGTTGGTTGTACAGACTTCAAAATAAGTTAAGGACCACTTGCAAACACTCTGGGTGGTCTTATTGGGTTGACCTGCACGTGGGCGTTCTTGGACTGATCCAGTAACTTGATGGCGCTGCCTCAGGCGGACAATGACAGAGTGTGACACTGCAAGCCTTCTGGCAACTTCTCGGGCTCCAACTCAATCCTGAAGCCATGCCACAGCCCTGGCACGATCAAAGTCTCTCAGCTTTTGTCTTGGTGGCATGTTGATGCGATACTGGATTTTGAGCAAACGGCGGCTTACATTGCCACCAAAGTGAGCACAGTTCGAGACGGTACGTCCGTTTATGACGTGCACCAAAAATTTTAATTTAGGAATGTCCTTGATGTTGCGCACAAGTCGATAAAAAACAAGAAATTTGGCTAGCATTCCCCGAGGATTTCCGTGAAGCATGTGGCGGTTTTGCCCCTTTAGAAACCTTCGCAGTACACATTGGTAACCCATGAACACTTTCAGAGCAATTTGAAACATTCCTTGCTGTATTTTTTTCGGATAAAAAAAAAATCAATGCTGTCTGTCAAGGTGGCCCTTAACTTATGTTTAAGTCTGTATATTTTTTATGTGACACATTTTTTTCACATGACACCTTTTTCGGTTTGGATATTGCTGTGGCTTTCTTGAAGGTTTACTGCTCTACTTTTTCTTCACGTGTCAGATCAGGGGCAGACATTGACGATCATGTTACTCAATTCCTTCCCCGGTTTTTCTTATCGTGTTATTTGTTGTAAGGTCTCACCTTGGGTAGGATACGCCTCCAAAGCGTCATCAATGCTCCCTCCCCAACCTATCCCCCTCTCCCCCTCCCCAAGTCCCACCTTTAGTACGATAACCCTCCAAAGCATCATCAATGCC